AGGAGCAGGAGCAGGAGGAGGAGGAGAAGGAGGAGGAGGAGGAGGCGGAGGATGAGGAGGCGGAGGAGGAGGAGGAGGAGGAGGAGGAGGAGGAGGAGGATGGGGAGGAGGAGGAAGACGACGAAGAACAATAAGACGAACACGAATAATGATAATAATACTACTAAGCATACGAATGCGAAGACGACGACCAATAATAATACGACTAATAAGAAGCAGACGAAGAAGACTAATAATAACCATAACAATACTAAGAATAAGACGAATAATAATAAGACTAGTAAGACGACGAATAATAATATTACTAATAATAATAGCACCAATATTATTAATGCTAATAATACTACTAATAATAATAATACTATTAATACTGGCAATATTATTAGTATTATTATTATGATTATTATTAGTATTATTATTAATAATATTAACAATGCTATTATTATTGTTATTATTATTATTATTATGAATAATACTAAGAATAATAATACTATTTAGAAGAAGAAGAACACGACTACTAATACTAATAATAATATGAACATTACTAATACTATTAATAATAATACTAAGAATACTAATACTACTAATATTAATAATAATACGAAGAATAATACTAATACTAATAACAAGAAGAATAAGAAGAGGAGGAGGAGGAGGAGGAGGAGGAGGAGGAAGAAGAGGAGGAGGAGGATGAGGAGGATGAACAGGAGGAGAAGAAGGAGGAAGGAGGAGGAAGAGGAGGAGGAGGAGGAGGAGGAGGAGGAGGAGGAGGAGGAAGAGGAGGAGGAGGAGGAGGAGGAGGAGGGGAGGAGAGGGGGAGGAGGAACATGGAGGAGGAGGAAAAGGAATGGGGAGGAGGGAGGAGGAGGAGGAGGAGAGGAGGAGGAGGAGGAGGAGGAGGAGGAGGAGGAGGAGGAGAGGAGGAGGAGGAGGAGGAGGAGGAGGGGAGGAGGAGGAGGAGAGGAGGAGAGGAGGAGGAGGGGAGGAGGGAGGAGGGGAGGAGGAGGAGGAGGAGGCGGAGGAGGAGGAGGAGGGGAGGACGAGGAGGAGGAGG